GGCAGCGGTTGTTGCCAGGGCAGGCCGAGGGTGCCAGGGCGCGGGGCCCCTGTCCCTGGCCCGCCGCGTTGAAGCCGCTGGCGACGTTGCGGCTGGCTGCCGCGCCCGCTGCCCGCCCGTCCCGCCGCAGGTACGTCGCGTACGAGAGGCAGCTGGACGAGCTGCGCGAGGCGCGGCGCTCCTCCCGCGGCATCAGCGGCAAGCGCGGCCTGGCGGAGTGGTGCATCACGCGCCGCATACACTTCATCTACGAGCGAGCCACACGCAAGTTCAGGTGGGCGCCCAGCTTTCTATTTATTGTGTGTGTGTGTGTGTGTGTGTGGAGAGAGAGAGAGAGAGAGAGAGAGAGAGAGAGGTGCAGCTGGGGCGGAGCAGTCAGAGGGTGGGGCCTGCGCGAGCCGCAATGCCGTGCCTGCCTGCAGACGTGTCCAGCAGGTGGCCAGCCCGTCAAGCAGGCCCGACCCGCCTCGACAGCCCCAACACCCACACACTCTCACACACACGCGCGCGCCCTGCCCTCCCGCCGCAGGGGCGACCTGGGCCTGTGGTCGCGCTGGCTGCGCTTCTGCGCGTCCAGCCGCAGCGGGCGGCGCATGTCGCGCGTGCTGGCCAAGGCACTGCAGCTGCACAGCGGCTGCGCCGCGCTGTGGGCCTATGCCGCAGCCTGGGAGCTGGAGCACAACCTCAACGCGGGGGCGGCGCGCGCGCTCATGCAGCGCGGACTGCGCATGTGCCCCCACGCCCCCGCCCTTTGGCATGAGTACTTTAGAATGGAGCTGGTGTACGCTCTGCGCCTGCGGGAGCGGCGCCGCGTGCTGGGCATCGACGCCGGCGACGACGCGGCGGCGGCGGCGGAGGACGCCGCGGCAAGCGGCGACGACGGTGGCGGCGACGGCACGGGTGGGTTTGAGCGGCGGTGGGCCCGGCAAAGGCGGTGGGCCTGTTTGTGAGCAGCCGCCCTCTTGCTGCGTGTTCCCATACTCGCCTAACCCTCGCCTACTGCTGCCTGGCGCCCCGCTGCCCCTGGCTGGCGCAGGCGGCGAGGAGGGCGACGAGGGCGGCGGCGGCGGCGACGAGTCGGCGGCGGCGGTGGCGGCGGTGCTCAACGGCGCGGTGGCGGGCGTGGTGTTCCGCTCAGCCATCGCCGCCGTGCCCGCCTCGGTGCCCTTCCGCGCCCGCTTCCTGAAGCTGCTGCGCCCGCTGCACTTCCCGGGCAGGGCCGCGCTGGAGGTGGGCAAATACCCTCCCGCCGCCACCCCCCATGCGCATTGCGGTGCTACGCTGGAAGAGCCCTCCGCCCACATTGTGGCCTCCCGGCCCCCGGCCTCAGCCCCTTGCCCTCGCGCCGCCGCCCCGCCGCAGGATGCTGTGTATGACAGCGTGGCCGCCGACTTTGGCGGCAGCCCCGAGGCCTGGGACCTGCGGGCACGGCGGCAGGCGCTGGCGCTGGCGCCCGGGGCGCCCCCCGCTGCGCGGCGCGCCGCCGCCGCCGCCGCGCTGGCGGTGTACCAAGAGGGCCCTGCGCTGCGCGCCCAGCCCGCAGCTGACGGCCGCGCTGCTGCGCTTCCTGCAGCAGCAGCTGCGGGAGCTGGATGAGGAGGGCGGCGGCGGCGGCGGCGCGGCGGGGAGGGCGGCCGGCGAGGCAGCCGGCCATGCGCAGCAGCAGCAGCGGCGGCAGCGAGCGGCCGAGGCGGCTGAGCTGGCGCGGTGGCTGGTGCAGTGGTCGCGGCGGGTGTATGAGGAGGCTGGGGCGGCGGGGCTGCTGACCGAGGAGCTGCGCCTGCAGGGCATCGCTTTCTTCCTGCACCAGGGCGAGGTGGAGGCGGCGGCGGCGGCGGCGCGCGCCGCGGTGGCCGCGCTGCCGCACTCTGCGCCGCTCTGGCAGCAGCTGATTGCGATTCAGGCGGTGCTGGCGGCAGACCAGCTGGCGGGGGACGGGGGGCAGCAGGCACAGCAGGCCCGGCAGGGCGCCGGCAGCAGCGACGACGACGACGACGATGAGGCTGCCGCCGCGCAGGCGGCGGCGGCGCTGCCGGGTACCGCCGCGACCGCCACGCGGCACAGCAGCGCCCCAGCGCAGCGCCGGCTGGAGGAGGTGGTGCTGCACGCGCTGTGGGCGGTGCCTGCCGCGGACGCGGCGCCGCTGTGGCTCACCGCCGTCGGCGTGCTGTGCGGCGGCGGCTGCTCGCTGCAGGCGCTGTCGCAGCAGATGGTGCAGGCGGCGCTGCGCCAGCCCAAGGGGCCTGTAGAGGTGGGCTAGGGTTTGCAGGGGGCGAGGGGCCAGCTGTGCTGCCAGCTGATCGGCAGAGGCACTGTGTTGGCAGCTCCAGCTCAGCTGGGAGCAGCATGCCAACCTGCCTGCCTGGGGTGCCGGCTGGCCCGGCCCGGCATTGCACCACGCGCAGCTGACCAATGCCTCTAAAGCCTGGCGGTGCTGCTGGTGCCCTTTTGCGTGCAGGGCGGCCTGGGCGTGGCGGCTGCCGCGCTGCTGACAGCGCTGGCCCGGGCGGGCGGCATCGAGGCGGCCCGCAGCCTGTACCGCGCCCTCCTGCCGCTGCCGCCTCCGGGCGGCGACTTCTTCCGCTGCCTGCTGCAGCTGGAGATGCAGGAGGAGGCGGCGGCCGCCGCAGCGGCGGCGGCCACAGCAGGGAGCCAGCCCACGAGCGGTGGCAGCACCGCAGGCCCCGGCGCCCCCCTGCCGCTGCCCGCCTCCCGGCTGCGTGACTTGTTTGAGGCCGCCACCGGCGCGTATGGCTCCGAGGACGTGCAGCTCTGGCTGCTGTACTGCGAGTGGCAGGCCAGCCGCGGCGCGACGGGAGATGTGGCGGGGGTGTGCTGGCGGGCGCGCAAGGCGCTGCGCCAGCCAGAGGCCTTTGAGACCGCATACCTCGTGCGCTTCAAGCTGCACCCCACCCTCAAGGCGGCATAGCCTCGCCGCCCATGCGATCCTTGCACCCCTCCTCGATCTTGGCACCCGCGTGTAACTGCTCTGCTCCACATTCACGGCTCTCAGATTCACAGGCAATGGGGCACTCTCCCTGCTGCCTGACATCCCAGCAGCATGCACATCACCGCTCAGCACGGCCCAGCAACAAAGCAAAGCAACAGCAGAGGCCAGCCGCTGGCCGCCGCAATCACGACTTGCCCAGGCTCTCCAGCGCCTTGCGCCGAGCCTCCTGCTCCTCCGACACCTGGCTCCCCTCCTCCACCTGCCCCTCCTTCTTCCCCTCGTCATCGCTCCCGCTGCTGCCGCTGCCGCCGTCGCCGCTGCCCTTGCCGCCGCCATCTGTGCCGCCGCCGCTACCTTCGCTCTTGCTGGGTGACTGGCGCTTGTCACCGCCCTCCTTCCCCTCATCCTCACCCCCAGCAGCTGCTGCTGCAGGCTTGGCCGGCGGCGACTGCTCCCGGCGGCCCTCCCGAACCTCCTCCTCCTCCCCCTTCTCTGACGCCCGCCGCTTGCGGGCAGGCGAGCGCGATGCTTTCCGCCGCTCCCCAGACTCCTCGCGCCGCCGCTCCTTGCTGCGGCTCTTCCGCCGGCGCCGCTCTCGGCTGTGCGACTTGCGGCGGTGGCGCCGCTCCCGGCTGCCGTCGCGCCCACGGCGCCGGTCGCGGCTCCGGCTGCGGCTGCTGCGCCTGCGCCGCCGGTCGCGGCTCCTGCTGCGATCCCGCCGCTGCCGGTCCCGGCTCTTGCTGCGGCTGCGCCGCCGCCGCTCCTTGCTCTTGCTGCGGGCACGCTCGCGCTCCTTGCCCTGCCCCTCACCCTTGGCTGCCCTCGAGCAATCCCTGCAGCACACACCAACGGCACACCTGCTCCGTGGCTGCACAGCGAAAAAGACAGGCTGGCACGACAGGCCAGCACAGAGACCGGCACCATGCATGCCACCAGCCAGCGGGCAGGCCTGCTCACATCTGCTCCCTGCGCTGCCGCGCCTCCTCCTCCGCCCGCGCCCTCGCCTCGCGCGCCTCCTGCTCTCGCGCCTCCCGCTCAAGCTCCAGGCGCTCGCGCTCCTCCTGCTGCCGCTTCTCATTGGCCTCCCGGATGCGGGCCTGCAGGCAGGGCGGCATGCACAACAAGCAAGGTGGGCGGCATCCGCGGCCATGCATGCGCCGTCCTGCTCGGCATGCCCAGATGATGCAGATGCAACGGCCAATACCGCTGGCAGCAGGCTGGGTGCGCGTGCGCTTGCTCCAGGTAGCCCCAGGGGGGCAATACCAGGCACACGCCTCTGGGCCCCTCAGGCGACGACAGCGGCACTGGCCGGAGCGGGGGGGGCGCGGCGCCAGCAGGGAGGCGTGGCAGGCCTGTGCAGGCACTGCAACTGCAGGGGCCACCCCGGAGCAGTGACTGTCCCGGGCAACGCACAGGCATGCTGCCCGCCGACTCTCGCCTGCTCATCGGCAGGCACGGAGCACAACAGGCAGCGGGCAGGCTGCCAGGCTTGGCAGCAAGCGGGGGCCCCACCTGCACCCGCTCCTGCTCCTCCTTCTGGCGCCGCAGCTCCTCGGCCTTCTCATCCAGGAAGCGCTGCGGGATGCCGGTGCCCGTCTGGTTGGCGCTGATCAGCAGCTGCCACAACTCCTGCACCAGGAGCGGCGGCGTGGCGCGGCGAGGCGCACGGCGCAATGGCGCACGGCCGGTGGGCAGCGGCAACGTGCATGCATGTGCGAGGCATCGGCGGGCGACGAGTGAGCGGGCAGGCAGCCGCACCTTGCAGAACAGGCTGGTGTTCTTCTCCAGGAACCCTGTCAGGCTGATCTGCAGCTGCCGGGGGTCTACCGTCTGCATGGCAGGAGCGGGGTGTGTTCAGCCAGGGCCGGGCAGGGCGCATGATGCGGGGCGATGCAGTACACGCCGTCCCTTCCAGCCTGCGATGCTGTTCCAGGTTCCTGCGTGCCATGCCCATGCAGCAGCGCCCCCACCTTCTTGCCATCCAGCTGCTCATACACGTATGCGATGAGCACCTCGTCCTCCAGCCCCCCTAGCAGCTCGGTGATGCGCTTGGCAATCCACGGCTTGAGCGTGTCCCAGTTGACCTTGGTCAGGTCCACCTTGGTGCTGAACTCGGGTGGGAACTTCAGCGACTGCGGGGCAGGGAGGGATGGATGGCAGGCGTGCCTTTGTGATGCCTGCAAGTTGATGCAGAGTGCCCGATGCGGGCAGCAGCTCAGGCTCGGTTCCATCCGCTGGCCCAGAAGCTTGCCTTGATCAGCTTCTTCTCCTTGTTGGCAAAGCGCGAGTCCTGCTCCGCCGACACGCCGCGAAACCCTGCAGAAGGGCAGCAGGAGCGGGAAGCGTTGAGCAGGCGGGAGCGGGCGGTGCGGCCCGGTGCTGGCGCCCGCTGACGTGTGTCGTCGCTGTGGCGTGCTCCAACGGTCTCAGCAGGCCGCCCGGCAATAGGCCAGAGTCCTGGCCCAGCGAGGAAGGGTGATGCCATCGCCGGCCTCTGCGGCAGGCTCACCGGCGCCAGACATGGTGCCTACTGCCTGTCACGGCCCCTTCCCTGCCTGCCGTAACGCCGCCTCGGGCTGCCCACACTGAACACTTTGCAAGGTGCTCGATCGGGCAGGTGGTTGACTCTGCAGGCCGCCGTAAAAGAGATCCACCAAGTACGGAATGGCAGGCGGCGATGTGGAGCGCCGGCAGAGGTTTCGCGGCTGAGCTGGCGCGAAACCATTCCACCGCCCCTTTCCTGCGGCCCTCCAGCCCTCCCATTGATCTCCAGTCTGTCCCGTCCCGATAGGGAATGAACCAGCAGAGCCTGGCCCTTTACCGTGCCCTGCTTAGAGAAGCGCGGCAGCTCAAGGACGCTGCGCCGGTGCAGAGGAAGGTCTGCTACAACGCCCGACAGCTCTGGTCATTCTACGCCCGCACCCAGGACCCGGAGACGCTGCACAGCCTGCATGAGGAGGCCCGGGCGGCAGTGAGAGTGCTGCGGTGGCTCAGGGCGCTGCCAAAGGCGAGTGCCGGGCGGGTCCGGGCGCCATCGACCCACGATCGCGGCGACCTGGGGCGCTGACCGGCGTGGAACTTGCGCCGCTGTCAAACCGCCGCCACCCGCCGCCGCCGCGTGCCGCAGGAGCACAGCGACGAGCTGCTCAAGCACTACCGGCACTCGCCCAAGTAGTGGGGCGGGGCCGCCATGGCCACGCAGTCCCCGGCTGCGCTGCTGGGGCCATGCATCGAGCGCATTCACCAGGGCGCCTCGGGGCGCAAGTACAGCAAGCTGCGACAGGATGCAAAGGTGTGCCGGCTGGGGCCGCTCTGGGCTTGCTCTTGACTTGGATGCCTCGAGCCATTTGGGGCTGGTGAACCCAACTGAATTGCAGCCTCTGTTGCTTGCTCCTTTGCACACCTCGTTCGATTGCTTGCTCCTCCGTGTGCAGGCACTGCTGGGGAAGCTGGACACTCTCCTGGTGCTGCAGCACGCCTCCCCAGGCGTGCCAGGTGACCATTCTGCTGCAGAGGCGGCAGCCGGCATCCCCGGCACGCCGTCTGGGCAGCATGCCGCAGCGGTGCGCGCTGCCGAGCCGCCAGCAGGTAGCCCGGCTTCGGTTAGCGCTCAGCCCGCTAGTGTAGAGGAGGTGGAGGAGCAGGTGGAAGTGAGCCTGCAGCAGGGGGAGGATGGCCAGGTGTCATTCAAGCTCAGCCTGAGCCCCAGCAAGCCAGCGGTGGCAGCAGCGACCCCAGAGCCGACACACGAGGCGGACCCGGGGCACATGCCGGCGTCCCCTGCTGCCAGCTCGGCTGGTCGGCCCACGGCGGTGCGGCGCAGCGAGAGCGTGGCGCCGCGGCCGGGCGCGCTGCACGAGGGGGCTGCCCGAGGTGAGCAGCACACCAGCCGCCCGGTATTGGTGCCAGCCAAGGTGCCGCCGCTTGCACCCAGCTGTCAACAGCCACAGCAGGGTGGCCGGTTTCTGCTCTACGCCAGGCTGCCTTCAGCGCTGAATTGCCTGCCTGCCTCCCACCTGCGTCACCCTGCTGCTGCAGAGCTGCTGTGCTTCCTGCGCGACGCTGTGGACACGCGCAAGGCGCCGGTGATGGAGGTGGCGCTGGACTGCATCCAGAAGCTCATCTCCTTCAAGCTGCTGCAGGGGCCCGTGCACCACATCAACCACAGGCGCGCCCGCTGCGCTGCTGCCGCCGCTGTGCTGGTGTTGCTGCTGCTGCTACAAACGTTGCTGCGTCACGTTGATGAGAGGCATCGTTCACAGCTGGTGGCGTGTGCACTGTCCTGAGAGTCACAGTGGCAGATGGCTGACGGCGGGCATGGTGTGCTGGCGGTGTGGGTGCGCATGCAGGCGGGATGGCTCCTCCAAGAAGAAGGATGGCGAGGATGAGGGCGGCCCCGTGCTGGACTTTGACTTGCTGCCGCCTCAGGCAAGGGGGACGCAGCTGTGGCACCAGCGGGCTGTGGCACACGCCACAAGCTTTGCGGCAGCAGGGAGGGCGCACGTGAGCGTGATGCGCTGCTGCTGCCGGCCACCTTGCGATCGCGCCGCATGTTGCCTGCCTGCTGCCCGCCTGCAGGCGCAGGCGGTGGAGCTGTCGTGCCGGTGCGACGACGTGAGCGACGATGCGGTGGAGCTGCGCCTGCTCAAGGCGCTGCTGACGGCGGTGACGTCCACCACCCTGGCGGTGCACGGCCAGGCGCTGCTGCTGGTGGTGCGCGCCTGCTACAACATCTTCCTCACCTCGCGCTCAGACGTCAACCAGGCCACCGCCAAGGCCACGCTCACCCAGGTGCGCCGCCGGCGGCTGTGCCAGGGTTGTGCCACGTGTGCCTGCTGGTCGGCGTCGCTGCCGCATTGGACAGATGTCGTCTCGTGCTTGGCTACCTTTCCTTGTGCCCATGCCTGCCGCCATCCACCTGCCCGCCATCCACCTGCGCCCACCCCGCCTCCCCCTCCCCCTCCCCCCCCCGCCGCCCCCGCAGATGCTCAACGTGGTGTTCCAGCGCATGGAGGCGGGGTCGTGCCACGTGGTGGTGCCGCCCATCGTGGTCTCCGACCTGCTGGGCCTGCCCCCCGCCGACGCCTCCAACATGTCCGCCTTTGTGCAGCAGTTCCTGTACGACGTCATCACCACGGTGGACCCCTTTGGCACCGTGGCGCAGGAGATACAGCAGGTGCGGGGGCTCTGGATGGCCTGCGTTGTGTGGCCGCTGTGTGGGTAGGTGGTCTCATCATCTCAGTGTGTTTGTGGTTGTGTGAGCGTGGTGGGTTGGTGTGGGATTGGGTGTGTGAACCCCGGGCAGCAGCGCCTCTGCCGAAACTTGCCCGCCCCTGCGCTGCTGCCTGCTTTTGATGGGGCTCTGCCTGGGCTGGCTGGCGCAGGGGCTGGATGACGCGTTTGTGAGCCAGACGCCGGTGATGGCGGAGGTGGAGGAGGTGGAGGGGGAGCTGCTGGACCCCTCAGACCCCACAGACCGCCAGCAGATACACTGGCGCCAGTCGCAGCAGGGCGGCGGCGGCGAGGGGGAGGCGCCGGGCGAGGGCCCCACCCCACCGCAGCAGCCGGCAGCCGAGCAGGCCGAGCAGGCCGGCGCGGCGGCGGCGCCCGCGGTCAACGGCGGCGCCTCGCTGGCCGTGTCCAGCGGGGCGCTGGGGGAGGCGGGGTATGCGGGCAGCGCCACCTCCGACATCACCTCTGCCACCGCGGCGCTGGCGCTGAGCGAGGCCCACGGCGGCGGCGGCAGCGCCAAGCCGCTGACCATGCCCGCGCAGCTGCAGAAGGACGCCTTCCTGGTGTTCCGCGCCCTGTGCAAGCTGTCCATCCGCAGCAGCGACGCGTCGCCGGGCAGCGAAATCACGACCATCCGCGGCAAGGTGGGTGGGCGGGTGCCAGGTGGGGGGCAAGGGCAGGGGCAGGGGCAGGGGCAGGGCGGGGGCGCACCCGTGGGGCACCAGCAGGTGCATGGCGGGGTGGGACAGCTGGCAGCTGGCAGCAGCCCAGCCCACCCTGGGGCGCTCTCAGCCGGTGATTGGAATCCACCTCTCCACCTCTCCACCCCGCCCCGGCCCCCCGCCACCCCGCCCTGCGCCAGGTGCTGGCTCTGGAGCTGCTGAAGATCCTGCTGGAGAACAGCGGGCCACTGTTCCGCTCCAGCGAGCGCTTTGTGTCGGCCATCAAGCAGTACCTGTGCCTCAGCCTGCTGAAGAACTGCCAGTCGGCGGTGCCCGCCTCGCTGCGCCTCTGCTGCTCCATCTTCCTCACCCTCATGACAAAGTTCCGCAAGAACCTGAAGGCCGAGATAGGCGTCTTCTTCCCCATGATACTGCTGCGCCCCATCGAGCCAGCGGTGATGGGCGCCACGCCCAACGCCGCGGGTGCGCCGCCGCGCCTCAGCAGCCGGGGCGGCTGGCGGCCCGGAACCCTGCGCAGGCAGCCTGGTGCTGCTGCTCCCACACTTCACGCCCTGCCCGACCCCTCCCTTCGCCTCTCCCTGGTGCCTGGCCTCTCATCCCGCCCCCTCCTTCCCCCTCCTGCTGCCCCCGCAGGCGCGGGTGGCGCGGCCACCGCCCCCGTGGACATTGCGCACAAGGCGGTGGTGCTGCGCTGCCTGCAGGCGCAGTGCGAGGACGGCCAGCTGCTGGTCGACCTGTTTGTCAACTACGACTGCGACCTGGAGGGGGCCAACCTGTTTGAGCGCATGGTGACCGCGCTGGTGCGCATCGCGCAGGGCAGCCTGGCGCACGACGCGGGGGCGGGGGCGGCGGCGCCCCTGGAGGAGCAGGCCATCCGATACGAGGTGGGTGGCTGGGTGTGGTGGGTGGGGGTGATGCTGGCGGCACGCGCCTTGGCAGGGCCATGCTTATTTTGGGGGAGGGCTTCTTAGAAATGTCTGTCTGGGGTTGGTTGCCTGGCCTGGACACGTGTGCAGTTGTGTTGCCTTGTCAAGTCCTTGCGCCGCACCCCTCTCCCCGCAGGCGCTGCGCTGCCTGGTGTCGCTGCTCAAGTCCATGGCCGCCTGGCACAGCAGCACCACCGCGGCGGTGGCTGCGGCGCCCGAGGGCGGCCCTGCGGCAGCGCCGGCCACCACCGCCGGCGAGCTGGCGACGGCGAGCGCCGCGGTGGCGGACGAGGCGGTGGTGCCCGACGAGAGCATGCTCAAGTCGGTGTGGCTGGCCAAGATGGCTGAGAGCGGGGTGGCTGCCGGCGCCGGCGACAGCGCCCCCGGCGGCGGCGAGGGCGACCAGCGGCAGGCTGCGCTGCTGGAGAGCTGGAAGGGGTACAAGCGGCAGTTCCAGCAGGGCGTGGCGCTGTTCAACCAGAAGCCCAAGAAGGGGGTGGGGTATATGCAGGAGCAGGGGCTGGTGGGCAAGGCGCCCGACGACGTGGCCCAGTTCCTGGCGCGCACCTCGGGGCTCAAGTGGGTGGCTTGTGGGTCGGGGGGGGGGGGGGGGGGGGGGGGGGGGGC